TACCAATATAAAGATGCAAGGAAAAATAATTTTCCAGATCTCTAGAAGCTCTGCAGTCTGATTCTCTGTTCAATAATAAAACAACAGATATGTGTTAATTTGAATCTGTAATTCTGAGTAATGGTTCTCTGAGAAGCCCAGCTTTTTTGAATTGTATATGTAAACTCTGTTGTTGAGATGCTTAGGATATGCTCTGAAAGAACTGAGAGCTGAATTCAAATAAAAAATAGTTAGACAAAAACTCTACTTTAATGTGCACATTAAATGTACACATGTTTTGTAAAATGGGTTATTGTATTGTATTTTATTCTATTTATTATTTTTTTATCATGATAAATAAAAAAAACTGAAATGTTAGAACTGTAAATTATATATATATAATATTATTATTATTACAATTTTTCAATTCTACACTTTAATAGAAAAAATGAAATTGTCCAGAAAGCTTTTCTAAACGAAATTTCTTTTTGTTTTACACTTGTGTCAACAAAATGACAAGTAAATCTGTCTGAGTCTAAGAAATTAAGTATGGCCTACATCTTAACAAAGAAACAAAAAAAATTTGCAGACTTCTAATTATTTTATTTTTTAAAAGGCACCAACTTTGTAATTTAATGTTGTATATTTATTTCAAAAAGGTATGTTGAAGAGAAGACGGTTTATTTACTCTCAACTACATTTCCCAGATATCCCTGCCCTGTGACGACGTAATATTTCTTCGACCGGTTTCCATGGAGCCGTCGGAAGCTCTTTCATGAAGCTAGCGGATTAGCCCCCTGCTCGGTGGCATTAGCGCCTTGATATTGTTGTAAAATAGTTGTTTCAATGATGTCAGCGGAAAACCTGTTTTCATTTGAGCTGCTGGTGGATCATATCCGACTCAAGAGTGATTACAAAGTTACAGACAGTCTCGCAGTTGGAGTGCGGCTACTGGATTTCCCTACACTGCTAATCTATCAGCGCCCATCAACGAGTCTAGGCTGTAAACAGTCTGCGCAAAAGCAGCGGGATGAACAGCAGGTGTTCCTCTTTAACAGAGGCAAGTCTTGTTTATTCAAAATGAACCTGGACTCTCTGCACGTCCATCTGTCTAGCAGCCCTCTGTATGCCATGGTGCTGGATGTAACTGAGGAGCAGAGCCCCAGATTGGTTGGCTCCTCTCTGGTATCTCTGGCTGAAGCGATGGACAGAATCAAGCTGCTTTCCGGTCCCTCTGCTCACAGCGGAAAGGGAGTCGCTGCTATATGCAACCTCACTGGGGAGAGGATTGGAACAATATCCCTGAGTTATAAGCTGGGGTGTCTAGGAGCAACTTTACTTCCACACATCACAGAGGGGAGGGGGGTAGAAAGCACCAGCACCCCTGGAGGTAAAAACCAAGAACTTTCCAAGGAGAAATGCAACCCTTATAGCATGTGTTCTCCCAGACGGAACGAGTCCGAATTTAGCATCAAAAGCAATGATGCAGGAGATTGCCACACACTGTTAGAAGAGAGTAGGGAGGGTGATTGTGCCGAAAGCCAAACTAAAAACACATTTGAGGAGGATTTAACTGTTTTCTGCCCCCCTCATCTTTACTACAGTAGTGCTACACACACAGAAAGTGGACATTCAGAGCCGGATAACAGATTGCTAAATATGGAATCAGAAGCTTTTCCATTTGAAGATGCATTCTGTGATATTGAGGAGGATAGAAAGAAAGTTTCAGCTTCTAAAGACGTACACCAGGAGATAATGCAAACTACAAAAACATCAAGCAGCCAAGAGGCAAGCGGGGTGACCACAAATATTCTCAGGGAAGCCCTGCAGCAGCTCCCACTTTTAAGCGCACTTGTTTCTGAACTTTCACAGTTAACCATTCATCCCAATCCAGCTCCAGTTACAGGGCCAGCTTCAGAAAAGTATGGAAATTCACCACTAACTCATCCCCAGCATAAAACTACACAGCTCTCTGACACCCACTTAAATCCTTTACCTCCCCCAAGAAATTGCTCTACGCCGAACCCTGTAAAGATGCAAGACCACCAAAAACAGACTTTAAGCTCCAGGAAATCTCAAATGAAGAAGCTCAAATATGGAACAACCAAAACATTTCATTTAAGGCTAAAGCAAATTTCTCCTCGCAAAGCGAACCATCATGAATGTGTAGAGTTGAAGAAAAGTGCCATGCAAACAAGAAATGCTGAAGAAAAGAAAAGGTCAAGACTCGCAACTTTGAAGTCCAAAGACAGAGGATTTCCGATAAATCGGGGTTATGACTTAGATAAAAACCTCAGGACAGTGGTGCAAAGTGGATGCGTTGACACTGCTCTAACAGAAACTGTCACTCTGAAACCAGAAACACAGCAGATCATTCCAGAAAGTCATGAACAAACGGTTTCAGAATACTTTCCTCCACAGAAAGAGCCCAAATGTATTTCCATCCACATTCCCAGACTGCATGGTGACAGAGCTCCTCTGAGCAAAGACGCATACAAGCATCAAAGTGAGTCTGATCAGTCAGACTCTCAATCTGAAAGGGTGAAATTCAGAGCTCTGGCCCCTGATCTCACAAAGAGAAAAAACGCCAGGAGCAACAGTCCAGAGTCTGCAGAGAGCAGTAATATTGAAAATGAAGCAAACTATGCAGATGACTTTGACAGTCTTGAATCTAGCAATGCTTCCTCCCCTAAATCTGATAAAAGCCCTGCACCATCAACAGGCAGGACTACAAAAACTCTCAGCAGCCCTGATTCCAACACCTCTGATTCAAGATCAGATGGTTTCCAGAAGAGAGCAGCTCTCCGCCCTGTTCTTTCCAAAACCCTTAAATCCCCCAACAGAGATCTGATGGGTACGCACATCATCCAACCACGCACCCGCTCCTCAGCACCCAGCTTTTCTTCCGACACGGATGATGATGATGACATGAAGAGGCCATCTTCCTCAGAAATTGTTTGCTTTAGAAAACAAGAAAGTGAAAAAATTGAGCAAAGCTCTAGTTCAGAGAGTGTTTCAATACCAAGAAGTGAAAAGGAAAAATTACCCAGGAACCAAAACCTTTTAAGAGGACTTCCTGCTGAATCGATATCCTCTCTTGAAGATGAAGAATTGGAGGATGAGCTTGGATCACTGGATTTTAGAAAAGGATACCAGCACATCTCTGAACTGGTAGCCAGCAAGCTTCCAGGATACACAATGTAGAGAATACTGATATGCCTAAATGAGGAAAATACATTGTTATGCTTCACAAAACCAATATTTTAATAAAGACAAGTTTTGCGACTATTTTTGCATCTTTTGCTTATTTATTACAAAATTATATAAGAAATTTAATCATCTGCAGAGTTCTTTTTTTAACAAAAAGTGAGAGTTTTTGCTTCCACCAGACAACATAATGCAGATAACTTTAATATAAATATGTCTCCAACATGTTTGCGTGCATCTTAACAGCATACAAAATAGCAGTATTTCTATTTGATTTTCTTTATATTATGCAATATTTTTACAGCTGAACCTTTTGTAAAAAAAAACTGCTTTTATATCTCCATTCTTATAGAAAGATACTGATGTGTATCATTTAAAAGTGTAGTTTGACAAATAAACTCGTCTTAATGTAGAAATGAATTTCCCACTATTAATGATAACGTATGATTCCTACATAAGTAAAATAAAATAGATAAAAATATATATATAAATTTTTACTTTCTCTTTAAATGCTTTAAAAACTTGCATATAGTGGGTGATTTTGATTTTATTAAAAACTTAAGGGGTTTAAACTGAATGCGCATGCATTAACCCTGTTATGAAGTGCCAAATTGGACCAAATCTGGATGAAACTGAGACCGAACATAAAAAAAAAAAAAAAAGTTAAGAGCAGCTTTTGAAAACTGAGCAAGGCTGGCTCAGAGTGCTGAGCCAGATATTATCCATTCTGTTGCTGTCTCCCTGGACAAAAAAAAAATCTCTTTTAATGAAGAGGATAGTGAATATTTTATATTTTGGTTCAGGGACAATTCAAGTAGATCATACAGTCACATTGGCTCAAATTTTCTATCTAAGGGAAACAACTGATTTCACTGGCTCATGGACTCTTCAGCAATCACTCACAACATGCATGCATGTGGTAACAGTGGAGAGGAAAACTCCCTTTTAACAGGAAGAAACCTCCAACAGAACCATGCTCAGTGTCAGCGGCCATCTGCTGAGGGCGACTGGGGTTCAAGGAGACAGAAGCAGACATAGAAAAAGAAGCAGAAATACAAAAGATAACTATTAACTAGCTCCAAAAGAGGTTCCGTCCAGGAAAGACGCACCAAGGAAGACTAGCACTGAGCCAATTCCCATGTTGGAGGAGCTACATGGCTGTAGATCTTATTTTGGCATTTGACCAATTAGATGAGCCCTCTAAGGTTGTGTTGTACCAAAAAATGTGTTTCTTTCACTCTCAGAGTGTTTTTCATGAATTTCTTATAGAAGCACTTTTGTTGTTTTTTTCTTAATATATTCGGGAAACTTGGCGGTTCTTGTCATTACGTTGACATTAATTTATGCCATCAAAATATTCATATTTTTTTTAATGTTACAAAGTAACAAAGTAACCAAAATAAGGGGCTGCCACTTATTTTGGGGCGGTCCCAAAATAAGGTCTTGTCCTGGATTCCAATAACACTCTTGGCTTAAAATTTTGATTTTCAAAGTAATTCACGGAGTGCCCTATAAAGGCTTAAGAAAGAAGATCATCCAAAGAGTACGGAAGAGGATTAGGGCCACTGAAAAAAAAAGAAAAAGTTAACTGATTTTTAAATATTATTTCAGTTTAATATGGGAAAAAAGTCAGAATTCTTTCTTTTTTTCCCCAGAATTTTGACTTTAATCTCTTATAAATGATACCTTGCGATTTCTTTGTAAGCAATACTTTAGAAAGAGTAAATTCTGCTGAAATATTATAAAAACTTTGACTCCATTTTATCGCTTATTGTAAAATATTCAGCGATTAAAGTTAAAGGTGCAATGCGCATGCGTTAACCCTGTGTTTACGGAAGTGCGTCTGTAGCCGCTGTCCTGTACATAGACAGCTGGGATGTTCAAACACGTGTTTCTGACCGGACCTCCAGGTAAATAAAAACACCAAAAACACACATATAGATTCATGACACCCACACTGACAGTTTCTGATATCTGTTTGTTAATTATGATCATTTTCCGCTACCAGCTGATTAAAAACACGACAATTGGAATATCAGATTAGACCGACAAAAGAAACCATTTATATTACTGAAATGTCAGCTCAGTGAAAAGTATATCAACATTTTTATTAACAAAAAGCCTAATCGACACACATATTCTAAGTGGCGACAGGATGCTCATCTCACCTGTCAGGGTGAGATGAGGATAGTTGCAGCTAAAGATTGGAGGTTTTTAGAGGATTTAACTGAAACAAAGATGCTAAATGTGGATTTTTTTATAAAACAGTAAACGTTACTGACTAACATTATGTGGTTTGTAGTTCTGTGGAATATTTTTCTCACATTATACATTATTTTCTACATTCAGGAGTAATGGGCCCTACTAAAATACTTACATCTTAAATATATTTAATACTAAGAATTTCACAACTTTGTTCATAAATTATTCTCTGCAGTTCAAGCAAACTAAACAATGGGGAACTAATAAGTTATTACTGGATTACTGGCACTGATGCAGGAACCAGTGCAGTCGAAACCATTGCAAACTACACTGTGTATGAATATTTGGTTATATGCTAAGGATTAAAAAGCTTCAATCATTATTTTATTAGTTTTTCTTACAATTGACAAAACAGCTAAACCATTCAGACCTTCCAGGAGGCTGTAGATTTTCTAAAAGCTCACCATGGCAGGAGACAGCACTTCTCTGGATGTTTCATTTGGAAGATATAATGGAAATTAAGTTTTTAAACATAATCAGTGGACCAACATAAAGATAAATGAATAAGATGAATAATAATAAAAGAAGAACATCCCTGTGGTTTCTCCTATATGAATCCAGGATAAATGAGTTATTCTGCACATCCTCTCTGTGTGCGGCTGCTCTTTTCTTGGGTGGCTGTTCTTTTGAAAAATAAAATGCAATGCTTCTTTTTCTTTTTGTGGACCTCCCATGGGTTTGAGAGACAAACCTGAAAGCTTTAAGAGTTAAAATATTTGTGTTGGTTTAATTACTCCTAAATTCCAATAGGAGATTATTAAACTAGACTGAGCAACAATTATTTATCTTGTGAGCAAAACATGGACTAAAACTGGGACTAAAAAAACACCAGGTAAAGAGAAAACAAACCATTTAATGTAATCCTACACTCAGTCTCCACATAATTTAAGCTGGCTGCTACATTATTGAATTCATATTTACTCAAGTACTAGATTGTTTAAAATCTCTAATAATTTACAAAGTGAATTATCCTAGTCCAGATGAGATAAGATACAAATTAAAATGACATACCTCATAACAACTGTCTTTTTTCTATATCTATTGCAAAACATTTATCTCACTAGAGAGATTATTCATATGTTGTTTCTTCACAACAACAAACCTTTTTAAGGGGATTATTTTATGTAGCGCATCATTTTGAAATTAAAAGCAATTAAACACGGTTGATATATTTACACAACTACTTACTAATTACACAAGTTAGTATGTCGCCAAATGTTTTAAATGTTTCATTTCTTTTCCTTCCCCTATAATGTAAAAATGTATTAATTATGTGCCTTTTTACGCCAGTTGTTCATGGATTTTATTTGCCATATTTTTGTTTGAAATAAAAATAGTTTTAATCTCATAATTTTAGTCCAGTTTTACAATTCAGTAGATCTGACTTTGCAATTTTATATAAAATCATAGCCTAGTAAACTAGCCCCAGCCATCAGCGGCCGAAATCATTTTTTCCTGCGCGTTTGGTCTAGCCTCGATCAATGCCCCAGGCCTTAGAACTGGCTGGCCAATCACAACGCAGAGATTTGTTTTATGGGCGTGACGACAAAGCTGCACGATGCTGGAGAAAGCACAAAAAGGAAGGTGGCAACAACTATTGAACAGCATGCACTGTGGCAGCAGCAGCTTTCAGTGAAGTGCTCCATTGAAAATTAAAGGTTCTCTTTTCTGTAGCTGTTGTTCAATAAAAGTACATTTTAAGATAATTTGAGGCGAGGATATTATACTTTAAACCATCACCATATGGTCCATTTAATGGATTACTTTTGTATTTCTTAGATGCAGTTTCCTGCAATTTCCTGCATTTGAACCAAAATGTATCCCTAAAAAAAAAAAACTCAAAATAAAAAATAAAAAAAAACCTTGAATGTTGGAAACTGTACATCATATACAGTCTTATTTTTACATTTGATCACTGCTGCACTTAAAAAATGGAAATATCTTTAGAGCTGTACTGAACGAAATTTCTTTTTATATACGGTACACTCTGTGTAAAAAATGAAAATAAAGTCTAAGTCTTTATCACGATTAATATGATTAATTGTTTCAGCCCTAATAATATTCCAGATTGTGATTGGGACAGTACAAAATGTAGAAATAATAAAGGCACTGTAAGACCATGCACCTCTTGTAGAATACTCTCATTATTTTTAAATTGTCTGTCGTTTCCTTACAGGTGTTGGGAAAACCACTCTGGTCCAAAAAGTCTGTGAAGCTTTAGTGTCATCAGGAGTGGGAGTAGAAGGATTTTACACAGAAGAGGTCAGGGAAGGAGGCAGAAGGGTCGGCTTTGATGTTGTCACACTTGCAGGAGAGAGGGGCCACCTGTCCAGAATCAGGTGAAGGTCTCGCCCACAGCATCCATATCAAGCTACCTGCCTTCTTTCATCCCCTAGTTTTGACTCGCCCATGCTGTATTTTATCTTGCAGAGAAGGTCCTGGAACCTTGCATGGCAGACGGGAATACATGGTGGGACAGTATGTGGTTGATTTGCCTTCATTTGAAAACCTGGCCCTTCCCCTCTTCAGAGATGTAAGACTGCAGCTCATGCCTTTTAAACTCATCCTTTAAATTAGACCCTCCTACTTCCATCACTTATAATTCATTAAACCTTTGATTTCCTTCAAAACTGATGGAATAATTGGAAGCTAGCAAGCACATAAATTCCACAGTGACATTTTTAGTGTTGCTGGTGCCGTCTGGCTGTCACTGACCGTGATTAATCCTGCATGTAAAGTGAGCCTGAAGTCACGCCTACACATGGAAGGTGTCTGTGGCATGGCGTCTCTTGGCTCACTTTCATCTGCTTTGTGCTCTATATGCAGTCACGTTATGCAAACATGAGAAACTCATAAACATCCCTAAGATATATATGTTTTAATTGGAACATTTGAAGTTTCACTATTGGAATATTTAACATTTAACACACAAACACTGTCCATTAAGCGCTCTTATGCAAGAGACCATTGCAGTGGGGCATATTGTGAAGTGATGATAAAATTATACCAGCTTTGCTAAATGTTTTATTTAAAAAAATACTAAAAGATGTGATACACATCTTATGATATAAATGAAAAAAATACATGGATTTTCTTGGTTAGTACATAATTATCCAGCAGTAGTTTAATCTTACCATAATTGCAGATTTGAAGGCTTTGGAGGTCTGTTATAAAACACAAAACACAGCGACAGTGTAAGAACGGGTTGTAGGGATGTTTAAAGCATTGCTAGGTCATAAAACAATATTCCAAGCTTCTAACATCACATGTTAGGAAACAAAGAGTGGCCAAAACCTACAAAGACATATCTATCCATTAAGAAATAATCAAAGAAGGAGCCAAGAGTTCAGCGTTAACACTGTATAAGTGTATATAGCGGTGCATTAATAGTCCTTGGCTCTGTTGAATAGATCAGGGATAAAGCCTGTTTGAAAGAATGGCTATAGGAAAGCAGCTTTTACGCTAGTCATGTTGCTGACAAAGCAAACTTGCCACATAAGGTCAGAATGGAACACTTTAGCAACGTTATAAAAACTTTAAACCAGAGTCACCTTGAAACATCGTGCTGGGGTTATGCTTAGAATGCAGGTCACTGTTTAAGGAAGGATATATGATGCTGAAGAGCAAGCAGTCTCTGAGAACAGTGAGAGAGTCCTAAGGAGAGAATTTTGTTTCAAAACAGATTTGTTTCTGTAATGCTGGATTTGTATTTTTATTTTTTTTAAATTTGTAAATAACATGAGAATACTAAATAAAAAACACACAAATCTGATATTATTCAATATGTATCGATATAATTTGAAAAGGTTCCTATGAATTAAAAAACATAAAAATTATCTACTGAAATAACATGAAACATATAAGCAAAATTAGTTGCACACGAATCTGAATACAAATACACAAAGTTTTTTGAAACACATTTCACACTTTCAGAGATTCGGGAGTGCATGGTGCGTTTAAATGCTGGTGAAAAGCTGGGTCATCTGATTTCTGTTTAGAGTCTAGCGTTTTTTTTTTTTGTTTGTTTGGAAAATGGGATACCTCAGGCCCCCTTAATTAAAAGACATACAACTACATCTTCTTGTCGGTATACTATGGTTGTTTATTTACAAGAATTTGCGAGCTGTACAAAAACAATTACTGGGTTAAAAGAAACTGCAACTAGGTGGCCACCAAAACAGGCATTCAAACTGAGAGGCAAGAAGAAGAGAAGGAGACTGTTGTGGGCGACCGTGATGAAATATGTTGGAAATTGGATTTTAGATATTCAAGCTCCGCGGAGTTAGCTGCACCTATCTCATGGTTGTTGCGGTTCAGGATCTCAGACTTCGGCCGGCTGCTTTCTGTTGCCGCTCTTATCAGGAGCGGTGGTTCACTTACGACTGTCAATACATTTCTAAACCAAACAATCATAAATAGGTTCCTTGTCTGTGACAAGGAACCTATTTATGGTTGTTTAACACTTTAAGTTGTGACCAACTTTAACAAAACCAGTTGTGAATTGTGCTACTACATTACGTAAATTAGGAAAAGTTTTTTTCATATTTCTAACGATTTTTAAGATAAAAAAGTTGTATTTTTATTTAATGGCTTCCAAGTTATGAGATCCACTGACTCAAAACCACACGACCTGAAAGCTATTGAAGAAAAATTTACTAAATTTTGACAAAAAAATATTAAATATATGAAAAAGACTTTTAATTACATTAAAATGAGTTTGCTATAATATACGTAATAACATAATATACAAAACAATCCAAAAACCTGCTGTCTCTCCCTCCCTACATACTCCTCGCATATTTTGACAGATCACAAATGGATGTAAAGCAGCAACCATAGAATAATAAAAAGTAGAACCTACTGAGATGACCCAGCTTTTCACCAGCATTTAAACGCACCATGTTCACACAAAACTGGTAACTCTCTGAAAGCATATAATGTGTCTCAAAAAACATTGTATGTTGGTTTCATGGGATTTGTGTACATGACTAGTTTGTACGGATAGGTAACGTTTTTGAATTCGGAAATATCAGAGTTTTAAAAATATTTTTATTTTCTATTCTTAATTTCATCATATTTTTATTTGGTTACAAATCCAGCATTAAAGCCACTAATCTATTTTGAAACAACATTCTCTCTATAGAGTTCCAATTTAATGCTGCTAAAGCTACAATAAATTGCTTTCTATCAAGTCATATCTATGTGTTTCAGTTCTAGTCAAGACCCAAAATATTATTGAGAAATTTTGGCAAGACATTAAAAAGAGCCTGTTTATGGAGACCCTCCATCTTCAGCTAATATTGCAGTAAAATGCGGTTCTAAAAATTATTGTGGGGGTTGAATAAACATTCATGTGGAACTCTATATGTTTTTATTTAATTATTTGATAACAAGTCTGCACTCTTTTATTCTATCCCTTAAACATTCAATCAAATTAATTAAAGGGTAAAATTAAATGTTAAAAGGCTCAGAGGGTTTGAATGCTTTGCATGGATACTTTAAAATTTAGTTTCCCAGTTTGTAGATTTTTAGGTTGTACCGGTTTTTGGTAACTGTAATTAATTAATTTTGATGGAAAGTGGAATTTGTTGCAATTTTCCTGGTCTTTACCATTTTTTTTTTTTTTTTACCAGTTTTGTAAGGGCTCGCGACTGTAACCTGGTTTTAGAAACAATAATAATGCTTTATCTGCAGGCAGGAACAGCAGGTGGAGGCAGCAGGAAGGTGTTCATCATCGACGAGATCGGCAAAATGGAGCTTTTCAGTCAGTCCTTCATCAGAGCGGTGAGGCAGACTTTAGACAGCTCATCTTGCACCATCCTGGGCACCATCCCAGTTCCCAAAGGGAAACCGCTCGGTCTGGTCGAGGAGGTCCGAAGCAGACCAGATGTCAAGGTTTTCACTGTAAGTAAAACTGTTGCTGCACTTTGTTGCTTAAAAACACAAATGAAACAAGATATTTGGGTCAAGGTTTAAACTTTTGTCTCACAATAACAGTGTTTATAGTGTATCCCCTTAGTGTTAGGAGGGCAGAGGGGTCAACCAGGCATTATCTCTCCTAGCAGCAACAGCAGGATTAAAGCTACATCATGCATGACTGATTCGGCAACAAAGGGGCATCTCAAACAGAAACAGTCAGAATGATTTGAAGTGGAGGACTCATTTATAGACATTGTCATGCAAAGTACTCACTGTATTTCTATAGACATTGTGTTAAACCAAATAATGCTATGAGGCAGCAGAGAGATTTAGTTGGAACAGAAAACCCGAGATTAGTTTATAGGAGAATGATGCCTCACAAAGACCTTCCTACCTCTTAAGGTGTGCCACATTGTCATGTTAAAACACAATCATCAATGATTTTCATATTGATTAATCCAACTTGAAGTAGTGGGTAGCTGTGAAGCAGAAGATAATCATTTGTTTTTTTGGTTTCTTATGTTTTTGCATTAGAAATGATAATTTAGAATAGATAATAAAAACATCGTAGGGGCTGCCCAGTGTCGCAGTAGCACTGCTGCCTTGCAGCAAGAAGGTTTTGGGTTTGATACCCGGCTTGGGGTCTTTCTGCATGGAGTTTGCATGTTCTCATGTTCTCCCTGTGCATGCGTGGGTTCTCTCCAGGTACTCCGGCTTCCTCACACAATCCAAAAAACAAAACAGGACTGTTTGGTTAATTGGCTTCTCTAAATTCTCCTTAGCTGTGAGTGTCTGCGTGAAGGGTTGTTTGTCCCGTTTGTCTCTGTGTTGCCCTGCGATGGACTGGTTACCTGTCCAGGGTGGACCCCGCCTCTCGCTCGTAGACAGCTGGAGATAGGCACCAGCACCCCTTGCGACCCCAGCTGGGATAAAGAGTGACAGAAAATGGATGGAAATAACATCTGTGAACATAAACAGGCAACAGAATCCCAGTTGGATTTAGTGCTGGGTTTTGACTAGACAATTTTCTCTGTCTTTCTCTGGTCTTGCTCTCCATCCTAGACTCACTCAGGTGTTCGTCCTGTATTTAGGTCCCCTCAGCCCCCTATCAACTTTGACCAACTCTCCTGCTTCTTCCAAAAAAGAAAAAGCATCTGTTATTCATTATACTGCACAGCACACATTTATTTTGGTGTATTTTGTTTGGTACTATAGTATTACTTTGTCTGCCAAAGATATCTTTTTTTTCATCAACGCAGAAAAACCCAAAAGAGTAATGAAAGCTCAAGCTCTTCAATGTGCTCTAACAGACCTTTGAAGATCATAACATAGTAACTAAGCATGTGCTAACATGTCACCTAAAAACATTTTGAAAGTTGATGTCATTTAAGAATATTACACAGAAAAAACATCTGGAAATAAGTACAAAAAAATTTTAATTAAGTGCATTTATCTTTAATTTAAGTGCGTAAATAAGAAGATATGTCATTGGAATGAGTATATTTACACCTAAAATAATAATTAAATCATATGCACTTGAAATAAGACAATGCAATTATTTTTTTTTATGTAAAATTTCTTGTTCCATTGCCAAAGCGTCTCACTTAGCTCCTCAATTCAAGAAAAAAAAATCCCATATTTTTAAGAAAAAAATAATTTTCGATTACATTTTTTTGCAGTGTGAGTGAACTGTCTAATCTCCCGATAGACATTTGTGAAACATTATTTTTTCCTTTTGTTCAGACTAAGCTTATTGGTCTTTTCTTTTCTGTCTAGGTGTCAAAGGAGAACAGAAATGCTCTTCTACAAGATATTTTAGCGACGCTGCGAGAGTGTTTTAAACGCAGCAGCCAGAGCCAGTGAAGGAAAATCCCCTGCAGTTCGGTCATGTTTTTGCTGACATCAATATCCTTTTGTGTCCGTGCATATATGCTTCACACAAGTGAACCTCTTCAAGGTTAAAAACGGTGGTGTGACCTACATGAGAGGAAACCAGAGCTGCTGGTAGAGTTGTTTTGTCACATGTATATATGCACGATGTACAGAATATCTTTTCTTTCTCTTACCACCCCAGAAAATATCACATGCTTAATAATTGATTGTGAGAAAGAACACCATAGGACAGTTAGATTCTTTATGTTTCTTAACAGTTTAGTTGTACTTTCTTTAAATGATTACAGTTGATGTTTTCTTTTAATAAAGCCAAACACAAAGCAGTGACCCTGGTGATTGTATTAATTCTTCCCTACCCAGGCCTCCCTCATGTTTATCTTTTCAGCCTCAGCCTTTGCTCACAGAAAATCAATGCATATTTAATTGCACCACTATTTGCTCTCTTTTCTTAGGGTTTATTCACCTGCTACCACAAACAAATAGCATAGATATTAAGTACCTTGCAAATGTATTCAAACCTCTTTTTCTCATTTTTTTCTCTAATTTTCTCACTATTTAAACTTATTTTACTGGAAAAAGTTGCACAATATGCCGGATCAAGATCATCAGCCCGGTTTTTATGTGTGCTGAATGGCAGTCCCAGACGACTGCTTTCATGCAATATTTTGAACGATGTCAATGGCAAGTGCCATGCATTAAATTCTGCAGCCCAGTTTCCTTTCAGTCTTGTTTGATAAAATTTGAGTGTCTCTAATTCATACACCATACATATTTAATTAGACTTAGACAGATTTATTTTGTAATTTTGTATACACGAGTGTAAGCAAAAATAAATTTCGTTTAGAACAGCTCTAGACAATTTCATAATTTTAAAGTGCAGCCTTGGAAACAGTAATAAATACATAAAATACATATTTAATACTTAAAGGAATAGTACACCCAAAACATGATTAGCCTTCATTTTCTACTCACCCTCATGCTGAACAACACTCTGGAGTACTTTTTTGATATCTCAAATGCATCTGGAGATCTGGGAGGCTTCTTGCTGTCTGCTGACATTCAAATAATGGTGGTCTATGGTGCCCGAGACAGAAAGGTCCATAAAAGTCCACAAAAAACGTGTCAATATTCCTCCATACTGCTCGTCCAATGTATTCCAAGTGTCCTGAGTGGGTAGCGTCCATAATTTACTCGAAACAAAGTCATTTAGAATGTTTTTAGAGCATAAACAGTAGTGTATAGGATTTCCTAAAAGCGAGCGCCTGCGAGTTCACGAGCCTACGGAAACCGCAGCAGACCAAACCAGATGAAAGTGCGCATTCAGCTCGGCAAAGAACTCATGCTCTTCCTCAACACTGAAGTCCTCAGACATTTTTCTTTCGTTGTTTTTTTCTTTGCACAGATAAACAGCACATTTCTTCTTCTACGCTTGCCTTATCAAGAGCAGACGCTGAATGCGCACTTTCATCTGGTTTGGTCTGCCGCAGTTTCCGTAGGCTCGTGAACTCGCAGGCGCGCGCTTTTAGGAAATCCTATACACTACTGTTTATGCTCTAAAAACATTCTAAATGACTTCGTTTCGAGTAAATTATGGACGCTACCCACTCAGGACACTTGGAATACATTGGACGAGCAGTATGGAGGAATATTGACACATTTTTTGTGGACTTTTATGGACCTTTCTGCCTCGGGCACCATAGACCTCCATTATTTGAATGTCAGCAGACAGCAAGAAGCCTCCCAGATCTCCAGATGCCTTTGAGATATCAAAAAAGTACTCCAGAGTGTTGTTCAGCATGGGGGTGAGTAGAAAATGAAGGCTAATCATGTTTTGGTTGTACTATTCCTTTAAGATGTTAATGCAATACTCATCAATTCTATTACGATAATGAAACACCATGCTGCCTGATGGATCAAAATAAGGTAGAGCATTATTAATAATTGTAAAGGTACTAAAATGCATCAGGTTTATAGGAGCTAGCTGAGGACCAGGGGTGGAAAGTAATGAATTACATTTACTCAAATTACTGTAATTGAGTACTTTTTATGAGTAATTTGTAATTTTCTGAGTAGTTTTTGAAATATGTAATTTTTACTTTTACTCGAGTAAATTTTAACCTAAGTAGTTTTACTTTGCTACATTTAAACCCCCCCCCCCCCCCCCCCCCCCCCCGTTACTGAGTAAAACAAACAAAACAAAAAAATATATATCAATGGTGAAAAATTTAATGTGGCCCTGCCTTGCATTTACCTTTTGTATTGTCTCATAATCCAGTGCTGTGCTTCGGAAGATGGCAGTTGCTAATCACAATTTAGGGAGTATGGATGAGGAAAGGCCTGAAGAGGAAACATATTCTGGAGACGAAAGCCAGAAAAACCCTTGGCCATATTTGGAAGAATTATTTGTTTTAAAATACACAAAAGGGAACAATGTGATAATGCAGTGCAACATGTGCCTGCCCAGCAAAACGGAGCTTTCGGCTTTTGAAACATCAACATCCAATTTACGAAAAAATGTGGCGGTAAGTTAGTTATCATGGTGTTGTCTGTTGGACAGTAGGATTGAAAATTGTTTGCACTTTATGGTACAGGTTGTGACTGTCCTTGTGCTGTGAGGAAGTATGTTCTTTAGCCCAGCTGATCTTTTGCAAGTGTGGATGTCCACTGAAATATGCCTTGAAATCGATTAAAACACCCTGTGCTCAATTCGATTCATGACTCATCCTTTTTTTGCATTAAATAACTCAAAGTAACTAAGTAACTTTTACTCAAATTACATTTTAAATGAAGTAATTTTGTGCTTTTACTTGAGTAAATTTTGAGATGGGTAATTTTACTTTTACTCTGAGTAGAATTTAGGCAAAGTAAAGATACTTTTACTCAATTACAATTTTTTAGTTCTCTTTCCACCTCTGCTGAGGACTGAAATGCAGAGATAAGGAGGCATAGAGGATTTCTTGCAGATTTCATTTAGATGCAGATGGCAACAGAAGCACAAATCCAGGAAGAGTATACAGGAAACCAAAACAACAAGACACCGGGAGAACCACACATGAGACGTGAAGCAATGAGGAACTGCACAGGAGATGTATATATGGAAGACAGAAAAAAGAGCGTAACTCAAAAAATAGAACACATGATGAAACCAATGACCAAAAAAACGCAGAATGACATTAATTAAAGTTTAACTGGAAACTTAAATAGAAGTAAAAAAGGGCAGCATCTCACACTGACAAAAATGATGCCTATTTCTTTTTCTTTTTGCAAATAAAAACCTGAAAACTATGCTGCTTATGTGTATTTCTGTCATCCACTTCACCTCAGACAAGCTGCCCTGTCCAAGAAAAAAAAAAGCTCCCATCATGATGCTACCTCTGTGATGGGAATGGTTTAGTCAGGATGATGTGCATTGTTAGATCGGGATACCTCGATCTAACCCTGCACTGTGTTTTTTAAGTGGTATTTAAATAAATGGAATAATGCTTTATTACTTTTATTACTTTTTGCAGCAGTTCAGTACTTTACTATATTATGTATCGTCCAAATAAAAAGCTGAAGAATGACCCAATCTGGAAATTCAAGGGGTTTAATTGTTTTGTAATGAACTGTATACACATTTTCTCTCTGCAAACAGCATCTTTCTGGTAAAAGAAAATGTAAACACTGTCTTTGTACATCCAAAGATTTTTACCCTGATCATAAACCTTGCTTTTGTTTTCACAATCTTTGCTACAATAAGCTTCAGGGATTTTGTGTTGTCCCTGGAATTTTGTTTCCATGTTTCATCGGATTACAATGTAGGATAAAAGTAACAATGAATTCAGGATTTATTTTTTTAAATGTCAGAAAGCTTTAATAAACGATTTGTAGCAGAGCTAAGTAGAGGGTTTAAGGCAACGGAGGATAATTTGTTGTCAAACCTGCAGAAAAGGTCCACACTCTGTGACCTATAGTCTGTTGATGGTATCGACTTGCTACAAGTAGAACACTGATTCTGCGAGAGCTCCGAGTGACAGCTTTTTTCAAGCTCTAACTAGACAACAACACCCTCTAGTAAACATTTTAAGTTATTTGTTTATTTCTAAAGCATTGAAATCCCTTCAGGTCATTTCAAAGTGAAAAAAATGAGAGGCTCTCTTGGCATGTTTTGCAGTGCCTGCTTGTGTAACTGATGTAACCTGTCAGGCAGGCTGCTGAAAGAACTGCCAGCCGCAATCTGCGTCAGACGAGCCGCTGCGCAAGCATCTGCTCCCTTGCCTCATATGACCGGCGTACCACTGGATCACCTGGCAACAGTGTTCTTTAAAGTTGCATTTTTTTGTTTTCCATCTAACGTGGAAGTACAACATCACATTAATGTTTTAGGTGCAGATTTCTAACAGCCTGAGATGGAGGAGCCGTGCTGCTGCAGAGAGCTGGCTCTATGGATGGTGATCGGCGGCTCCCTGCAGCAGGGAACCAGATGGGTTACATAACAGTGACAAAGACCTTGCCAATTCTAACAAATGGATGATGTACGCACATATGGATGCATCTGATGCTTTATAATGTAATTAGCATTCATACAGCTCATGTTGTCATTATATGTGCATATTTACGAGTCATCTGCTGCATGTGACAGCTCATCCATAGCACCTGAACAGCATGTGTTCAGAGTTAGAGAAGAAAGTGTTGAAGAATTTACCAGAAGTACAAAACTTAAACAATAGATTTCACATCAAAACATATTTCAGTCCTTCATAATTATTAGCCCAGCAGGAAATATTTGTTGAGAGGAAAAAATAAAGGTCTTAATTTGCCAATGCTTTCTAAGCAATTATTTTATGTATCTTAAGATCCATATTTCACAGAAAATCATTAAGGGCTGTTTTACATATACATATTTTGTTTCAGGACAAATCCAAGTAAAATTTTGAAATTAAGTCTAACACTTTGTTTGAAATACTGTTTACTCTTTAGCTATTTTGAAATGGCTATCTGATGGTAAGAAAGGACTTTTTTTTTTAAATATGATTCCCCAACAATCACTTAGCATGTAGATCATGTCTAATACATTTAATGGAGACTTGTTGATGCAAAGATGCAGATGTTTGTTTAATAACTTCTTTTTAAACCTCCTTTACCATCCTTTTCATTGTATGTGACAATTTTAATTTATTACTGTCACTGAAAATTAAGAAGCCATCTATATTACGAAATAAATAGTTCCAAAATAAACTGATCACCAACCAATTTAAAATGTTTGATTGTCACTTAAGATAATGTTATGTACCAATTTCTCTTTTTTGCTGCCTGAAATAGATGAAAGGTTTGAGTTAATAACCTCC